GGCTGAGGTCAGAGAGGTCTTTTCCTGCTTTCTCCTCTAGGGTTTTGATGGTTTCCTGTCTCACATTCAGGTCCTTTATCCATTTTGAGTTTATTTTTGTGAATGGTGTGAGAAAGTGGTCTAGTTTCAACCTTCTGCATGTTGCTGTCCAGTTCTCCCAGCACCATTTGTTAAAGAGACTGTCTTTTTTCCATTGGATGTTCTTTCCTGCTTTGTCAAAGATGAGTTGGCCATAAGTTTGTGGGTCTAGTTCTGGGGTTTCTATTCTATTCCATTGGTCTATGTGTCTGTTTTTGTGCCACGCTTTGGGGTTTATAGTCTCAGGTGATTCCGATGTGAACCACTGACATAACTAGAAAATTATGAGCAGTGATTTTCTAAGCTCACTTAATAACCTGCTTTGTGAACTGTGATTTTCTATTATTCTATTTTCCTCTTTGGATATTAGGTAACGGACCACAGTTTTCACGCTGAGACCTGTCCAAAGGGTCTTAGGGAGGTTTGTATTCTCATAGGGTGAATCGTATCAACTGCGGTTCCCTTTTTCAGGGCTGAGGGAGCATGAGCCATTTGCAGAACTTACTGTTAGATACCCTCCTGGGAACAAAGCATGTGGACAGTGCAGCCCTCATCAAACTCCAGGAGCGAAGCTTGAGTGTAGCATCACCAGGATTTAGTGTAAGAAAAAGCCAGTTTGGGCATAAGCATTACAAACTCTTTCTGTAAAGAGCCATAGTAAACATTTTCGGTTTCTGGGCTATATGGCCCATGTCACAAGTACACTACTATGCAGTTTTAATGGGGAAACAAGCAAGGACAGTACATTAAAAAATGGGTGTGACTGTGTTCCAATAAATCTTTATGAACACTGAAATTTGAATTTCATGTAATTTTTACATATCACAAAATATACTATTTGTTTTTTCCAATGACTTAATAATAGAAAAAAACATTCTTAGCTTCCAGGCCTACAAAAACAGGTAGTGGGCCAAATTTGGTCAGCCTGCCATAGTTTGCCCACTCCTAGTCTAACTTCTGCAGGTAATGCCCAGTGATGTCCGAACTCTTGTGAATGGATTCGCCAAGAACCCTTTGCAAACCAGAAGAGAAGGACTGTATTTCAAGGAAAAGGACTACAAATGTGTCCGGGCAGATGACTATTCTCTTTATGCTAAGAATGTGAGTGTTCAAGATTTGAAGATGGCTAGGTAAAAAACCTTAAGAATTTGACTCCAATTTGCTCTGTCCCTACTGATCCCATTTATAAAACAAACTGAGCCCATTACTGCAGTGGCAATGTCTGAGACAGCAGTCTAATGCCAAGAAGGCATAAGTAAAAGAAAGTATGAACAGAGAGCCTAGCTGAGAAATACTCATTCCAGAATCTGTCAACTGAACCTTGCCTAAAGTATCTCCTTTCACTACTCCATACTCTACATCCTGTTTCTTAAAAAAAGAAAAGAAAAAAGAAAAAGTCAGCATTCATGTGCTTAAAACCTCTCTTGGCTCTCTGTTGCCTGTAAGGAAACAAGGAGATGAAATTCACATTTATTGGATGCCCTATATTATGGCATAAGCATACTTCATCCGTATTATAAAGTAAGTAGCCTCATTTTTCAGGTGACGAAACTGAGATTTAACGAGGTTAAATAATTCTTCCTTAGTCATGCAGCAGAAAATGGAGGTGCCGGGATTCAAGCCCAAAGCTGTCCAATTCCAAAATGTATAACCTTTTCATTATATCATTTGTTCTCATTGAGATAGGGGTAGATTACAATCAGCCGGGGAACTTTCTCAAAACACACATGCTGTTATTACAAGTCTGAAATTTTTTGAGAAAAGACAACTAAATTAGTGGAAAAGAGTGAAGAGTCCAAAAACAGATATTTATCAGCGTTATGGAAGTAAAGAAATGGCAAGAAATGTGGCTGAAGTGCAACTGCTAGTCCTGTGACAAGAACCAAAAGAAGGGCATTCTGTTTTACTCTTATCCAGGAAAACACTGGTGTGGTTGTTGTGAAGACCCATCTGTATCTTCTGGTGGCAACTTACACTGAAGGCATGTATCCTAGTGTTTGTGTGGAAGCCACAGAGAAACTGGGTAAGTTTGTCTCCCTATGCCTGTCTTCGTTCCCTATGGTAGTGAGGCCTTCTGACTGCCAGTAACTGAGAACCAATTCACACCACCAAGGGCAGAAAGGAGGAATTTATTGGAAGAGTACTGGAGTTAGTGCAGCTGAGCCACAGGGAAAATGGACTCCAGGGACAGAAATACTGCTAGAATGCTTCTCTAGTCTCTTTTTTTCTCTTTCTTTCTTTCTTTTTTTTAGATAGAGAGCATGAAAGTGAGTACAAGCAGGGGAGGGGGTAGAGGAAAAAAAGGGGGAGAGAGAGAAGGAGAATATCACGTAGGCTCCAAGCTCAGTGCGGAGCCCAATGTGGGGCTCAATCCCACGGCCTGGGATCATGACCAAGCCAAAATCAAGAGTCAGATGCTCAACAGACTGAGCCACCTAGGCACCCCTCTAGTCTGTTTCTAAGAGCATCAGCTTTGTTCTGTCCTATTGCAAAGCCTTTCCTGGCTGGTATCATGGCCAAGGCTCACATACTGCCTCTTAATTTCTTTTAGGATACTGATTTGACAAGTCTTGGGTCATAT